TTAACCTTAGATTGGGCACAACTTATTACTTAATGAAACTGTCTTTAAACCTGTATGGTTGTCCTCCATGTCGTTTTTGAAATTATCGATAATTGAGGATATCCAGGGGCTGTAGAATCTTCTGCTCGACAGAATCTCATTGGAAATATTTAAATTGACCTTAAAATAGCTCTTCCAGATCCAGTCTTAAGCTTAAATTAGACACATAACTCATATGGTGAATACATTCTGAAAATGCTGTCATTAAACTTGCATGGTTGAACTTCAGCTGGCCGTTTATGAAATTACTGATAATTGAGGATATCCAGGGGCTGTAGAATCTTCTGCTCGACAGAATCTCATTGGAAATATTTAAATTGACCGCAAAATAGCTCTTCTGTAAGAACCCCCGGAATTCCTAAGATGCCAGTGTGGTGTAAGAACCCCCATAATTCCTCCTGCTTCCTCTAGATACCAGTGTAGTCAGTGGAAGTCATTTGTACGTGATCCCTCCAGAGCGGAGCTGTAATTCCGGGAATATTGGTCTCAGTTAATCGCACTACTGATGAAAGCATAACTACCCTTATTGCTTCCTTCCCATGGAAAAGTGCCCTTGGGGTTACCCGATTATAGATGAATCGCTAATGAGAGCGGGAACTGGAGGGAGACTTCTCTCCTGTCAACCGTTCATTTCATATCGACTATACTGGGTGAGTACTCCAGACTCCTAGAATCAGGGCTCGTAGATTATACCTATTCGATTATTCTATCGAGAGTTAACCAGGTATATTCATGTTTCAAGAGCAGTAGGAATGCTTTTGTGGAGCCTTCAATAAGCACTCCGTCCTAGGTTTATCTCAGTATATATTGGATTTGGTCCACCCTTGTAGACGACGGTAGTTTTCCATCAGACCGCCGGGTCTTACAACAGGAAGATTTGAAAAGAGAATTCCGTATACTTTTAACGCAAAATATAAATATATTTACGGTGATCGTAAATCAAAAACCATCGAATTCGGATTATACAATATACATGCCCTTATAATTATATTCTTCTAGCCATAAAAAGCATAAAAGTTTACTAAAAATAACTGCGATAAGGCTGCACGCATATTATCTGAAACTGCTAACTTCGAAGATCTGGGCGACTCGACAAAAGCCCCAAATGAATTAAGTTATGAAATGATCGGTTTAACCTTCACTCTACAGCATGCCGGTGCTTGGTCTAATAGTAAACTGAAGGTTTAACTTTACGTTTCATTTCTGCACGTGACGTTAGTGGGCGGCGCTCAGCCTGGGTCATTCCGCCGCAGCTTCTCTCGTGTTTACAAACACTATCAGCCTGGGGTCCCCAGGTTGAGGTAACACGTGATGGTAACCTCTTAATTTGATTGATTAGTCTGGGGCTCGTTGCATCTCAGGTGCTGCACTGATTGGTATAGTGCATTATTTTGACGTAAATTGTGGCCAAAATTGCGGTCGAAATGTCATGGAAGACAAGGTCATATCAAGAGTGATGTTTGTACTTAAGAGACAGGTTTCAGTGTTTGCTGTCAGGGTTGAAGATCCATTATTACTTATTGAGCCTTGAGAGCAACAAATAAGCTACAACTACAAGTTCATCAGCGCTGAGTTCTCCGGAATTTGTATTTCATTGCTGTTACTATTTCTTTCAAGACTGGACCAAATTGACGTTAAAGTACCGAAAAACTTTGGTAAAGCCGATTAAATTTATCTGTTGCAAATTGCAGCGATCAGATTTAATACAGCTTGGCCTAATGGCCTTTTAAGTATACAGATAGTAGAAATAGAGGGATTGTAGACTATGTTTTTAATAATCGTACTGGTTCAGTCCCAATATAAAGGCCAAATCAACTATTATAACAAGTCTGATGGCATTGAAAAGTAACACGGGAGCTTACCTTACTCGGGAATATTATAGCGGGTTGATTTATGACTGGGAAAATTAATGACCGGGAATAATATGGCGGAATTTTCCAAAACCCACCAAGCATCAAAATGTATTACTATTAGTTTACCTTACTCGGGAACATTATAGCGGGTTAATTTGTGACTGGGAAATTAATGACCGGGAAAAATATGGCGGAATTTTCCAAAACCCACCACTTTATCCCAGTCATAATATTTCCGAGTAAGGTATGTAACGAGGGTCGGTAATTCTGCTAATTCTCGCAGGATCAATCTAACAGAGTTGAGCTATAATGCCGCTTTCACGACCCAATAAAATCGCAAGAAAGTTTGCTCGCCTTATAAAGAGTTTAAGTTTTCATTTCATGGTTTGATAACAGATACTAGTAGTATTACTATATAAATGTACCGCGTTGGAGCAAAACATTGACAGATAAAATAGGTCAATTATGGCATGTTTGTGGGATGATTCGGCACTCGGTATGTAGTTTATGATTAACTGTCAGTTTCTATAATACCATCCTTCTCCATACTAGAACTGAATATGAACCTTTATATTATACCGTTTTTGGCCAATTCGTGTAAGAACGTTTTACTGTAGCATAATTAATTATTATTGTTACTGGGCGGCGCTCAGCCTGATATTCCGCCGAAAATAGCTATTCGGTGATGAACATAAATATAATAGCCTGGGGTCCCCAGGTAAAATTATTGGTTACTAAACAAACTGCATTGTTTATGTGAAGTGAATATCCCTGGCACTTCAGTTAATAATCATCTCTGAATCTGTGTTATCGTTCATTTCACAAGGCTCATCTCGCTCATACACCTCATGTTCCTGCTCCATCTCGTCTTTGTCACTGATCTTGCTCGTGCAGAGCTTGTAGTCTCTGTTGGCGTAGAGTTTGCAGGATACCAGTTGGAGACACAATGCTACCAGTATTGTAACGTAGTTACACCAGACTGTAATTATATTGCCAGTTAGTCTCAATTAGTCTCAATTAGTCTCAATGAGTCTCAATTAGTCTCAATGAGTCTCAATTAGTCTCAATTAGCCTCAACTGTAAGCCGTACTGTGGAGGCAGTAGCATAAAAAACTGTTGATGTCACAAAACAAGTTAACGCTCCGTTCTCAACATTTCATTTGGAAATTTATATCTACTATTTAAATTCTAATCATCCTTATACTTACTGAGTGATCTTTGGCTTGCTCCAAGCTCGTTGTGTCCCTTGATAATATCCCGCCGGGCAAGAAAGCCGAGAATTCTCGCCAAGAACTTTGACACTGCAATCATCACTTTAAATGCAAAAAACTTTTTGATGCATTTGTAGGGTTTCAGCCCCTCGTAATCAACCCTCAAAACGATGACTACGGGCCATATTCCTAGCATGAACGAGAATGTCATCAAACCATCCATGATGAATGTTTTGGAGGCCTGGGGGTCGAATGAGCAGTCGAATACAGCAAGTACCCTGAACGTCTCTACTGTCGCTTGCACCGCTATCAGCTGAATTATCAGTAATCTTAATCTTCTCAAGTTCACCCTGTGGAGATGCATGTTTGTATTTATACAAACAAGTTTATAAACTTCGAATATCATTTCATACCAATTTTCGATTGTTTGACCTCAACCTCCGTCACTGCAGGTCATTCCTTGGAACGACACCCAATCCAGTGGTTAAACATTAACCATAAATGATTAACCGTTTAACCTCGCTTATTTCTAATGTCTGGTATTTAATTTCAAGACAATTTAGCCAAGGAGTTACTACTTTCAATTCAGGTTAATTAATTTACGTTTAACCCGCCAAAAATCGGATTTTCATTTCTCTCCTGTCACTGTTTAAGACGGTAACTTAAATAGAAAGCTATGTCGTTGTTTATAAGTCACTTAACTGAGTAACTATAAGTATACTCTCCAGACAATTTAATTACCTAGTGTGATTGGAATCATTTAACATCGGCAGAGTTCAACAACAGCACACTATAATATGCTTACTTTGAGTTCTTGATTGCAGGAAGGCAAGGAAAACAACAGTACACTATTATAATGCTTACTTTGAGTTCTTGATTGCAGGAAGGCAAGGAAAACAACAGTACACTATTATAATGCTTACTTTGAGTTCTTGATTGCAGGAAGGCAAGGAAAACAACAGCACACTATAATGTGCTTACTTTGAGTTCTTGATTGCAGGAAGGCAAGGAAAACAACAGCACACTATAATATGCTTACTTTGAGTTCTTGATTGCAGGAAGGCAAGGAAAACAACAGCACACTATAATATGCTTACTTTGAGTTCTTGATTGCAGGAAGGCAAGGAAAAATACAGCACACTATAATATGCTTACTTTGAGTTCTTGATTGCAGGAAGGCAAGGAAAACAACAGCACACCGGGGGAGTCTGCATACTTATTAAGGAGCTTCCTTTCCATTCGTACCTGAAGAAAACGCCCTGTAATCATTTATAGCTTTTATGATTCGTAGTTAGTTTAAAGACTAAATTTGGCCGTTCATCCACCTTCTGCTCAGTTTTATTTCAATATGATTAACAATTATATATATGTTTTATCAAGTGTCGTCTTAATAATCGTAAGTAAATGTAATTAGATAGGCGTGAGTTTTTAACGTAACATGATGTCGGTATGATCTCTACCTACCCTGTTGAATGGAGGTAGGATAGCATATTTTTGAAAAATGCAATGCAGCACAGACCCTCGTATCTGAAAAATAAAATAATAATCGTAATAACATGCCCCGATATAACGTAATATATTGCTCGAACTGTTAAAAAGTTATGCATTTCTTCAAAAACGCTACCCATTAATGGATGCTAGATTTATTCACAAAATTTGATACCGTAATGTATACTTGAATAGGTTTGTTCTTTATATTCACCATTAGTCGTTATTAAAAACAACATCATTGAATAGATCAGGCTAGACTGTATAATAAAATTGTGCAATTCCATTGATAGTAACGGATTGGTCATTGGATTCACTTTAAAATGGTATGGATTCACTTCATGAGTTTTTGCAAGCGACCTTGCTATTTATGGTAAATTAAGATTTTCATACAATTCAAACAAAGTACTTCTATCAATATGTATAAATTTAATGTATAATTATATTTCCTGTAATAATATTATGTTGAAAAATCGCCATAGTCAATAGTCATAGTAAAATCATGAAAGTCTTCTCCAGTCATTATCTTCAACTGTTCTACACATCATTATGTTCTACATTTTAACGTCAAGTTAGCTTCTAGCACATTTCCATTTCCTCGCAGATGCTTTCATTGAGAATGGCCTTGTTGAGCAATTTAGCGGTTTCGGAGTACTTGACACAATCCATGGGGGCGGTCACATCCCCACAGGAGTTCTGCCACCAGGAAAATAGCTCGAAGTTCTGCTGTTTTAATTCCTCCATGGTCCTGCGGGGGTGGTTTTATTTGCTAAATATCTAATTAATCATGAATCCAGACAGACATCATTTATGAAATATCTAAATGATGTCAATGCAACATATAAATTAGGGATTGAGACACGAATCATTTATGAAATTGCAATTGACAGACTGGCTGATAACTATTGTTTGCACAGTTGTGATCTTAGCGTCTAGCGATAATAAAGCAGGAATCATTTATGAAATATCTAAATGATGTTAATGCAACATATACATTGGGGATTGAACATGAAACAGGAATCATTTACGAAATTGCAATTGATTGATAACTATAACTCGCCCAGTCGTGACGTTTAACATAACTGTTTCCTGGTCTTGCATTACAATCCGACAAAATCTTAAACTGTAGTTTATATACGATAATCTGACTCACGTTTGACAAGTCTTGCAAGTATCAGTTTTAGGTAGGCTCATAAGCATAGTTTGAGCGGAGCACTGACCCAAAGCCTTGCACACCATCTGTAAGCGACATATTGTTATAAGGAGAGATACAGCAAAATTATCAAATAGTTAAGTTTTAGGTACAAGGAAAATCTACCCCGTTGTTGATAGAACATTTGCATTTTTACGATCGAAAATATGTGACTCAGCATCCTGTCCTCCTCGGAAGTACCAAAAATAGCTGAAAATTATATTGAGTACTCACTGCTGGTCCAACTTTTCCTGCTAGGGTTGCGATTGCCTCTTTTCCATAATCCTCCACCATCGACTTGCAAGTAGCGGTGTAGTCGGCTGGGATGAGATCACATACCTGAAATAATATCGAGTCAATTATTAAAATCGTATTCCTCAAGATGATGAATCAGAAACGTTGCTTTTCTACAGAATGTAAACTAAAGGATTAAATGGTTGAAAACCTTTTCGACCCAGGTGAGGAGTTTCTTTTCGTTGGCGTCGTTGAGGGTGTAATCTTCTACTTTCTGGAATACCCACATACAGGCTTTACATGTCACAAAGTTTCCTACGTTCTTGGGCTCCTCCTGGAATGTTTATAATTATGTTACCATTTCTATCAAATAATTGAAGTTTTAGAACGTGCAATATCAAACATTCAGTTTAAAGATTCATTTATTTTGGTCATGACCAAGTAATCTCACCTTTTTCATCCAGATGTTATCTTGACAAAACTGAGTGGCTTGGCAAGACTCTGCCACCTCTGTACTAGAGCACCAGTAGGCTGGTCCTTCATGACACTCGGGGTTAACGTAGAGGAATGCTGAGGCGCAGCCGAGAACGGCCAGAAGAACAAATCCTCGTACCATAATATCTACAAAAATAAAAAATACTGACGATGTTTTATTTGTGAAATTATATTTTCTTAAGTTAAATATCTAAAGGAGACTATAGAAGCTTTACTAAAGTCAATCAGTCAACCGAATCCAACGAGTATTGCATCGAACGAGTCACCTAAACAAACGAGTGCAACAAAACGAATGAAAGTCATGAGACAGAAGGTCAATATACCGTGGCCTTGACATGTGATGCTGCTTGCAGCAAATTAAAATCCCGTGATCTGTATGAAAGTTCTTATCAGTCAGCTGCTGGTGCTTTTTTATTGGATTTGCTGGTTTTAAGTTTCACTGCGTACGTGTATCAAGAGGTTGTAAAGTTTTCTTAATTGTACTGTGAGCATGATGACCTCAAAAGGAGTCTTATATTTTAGATCCTATACATTGATTTTTTGATAATCTGAAGTCTGCACTCACAATAACTCTTTAATCAGCATTATAGTTAGAAAACAGTCACATGTGTATCTACTTATAGTCCAATTCTTTCTTCGCAACCCTGAAACCGTATCTTATTCCCTACGTCAATTCCTATACGTCAGTACAATTCATATATCTCAATTGTGGAAGAATGTAAAATTATAAGAAGCTTATCTGCTTATCAACCACACCTTCATCAAGTCGACACTTTTCCTTGACAAGGCAGACCGGATAAAAAAGGGCTTTTATTTGAGCAATTTGCCTATTGCTATTAATTTGGGGCTTGAGTCGCATGCAGGTCCTTCATTTGATCCTGACAGTTGACTGGTTGACAACCTCACCTGTAAATTGTCGCTAGAGTTCTTATACTGATTACAATGACAATTACTACAGTGCAGCCGCTGCACTGCCTGTTATCTATATTACAACCCAGATGGAAGCATTGGGTGAAGTTGTCACACCTGACTTGGGTGAAGTTGGCGTTTCTGTGTTCGGGTAGATTTGGCAACCTGCCAAACTGATTGTGTACCCTGATAGCTGGTTCTTGTCGGGTGATGTTTTTAGTCAACAATCTTATCACATTCACATGACGGTATAAGTTTTTGCTAGAATTGTGTAGTCGATAATATCACGTATGATACGTGATATCCAATGCTAAGATGCGGAGCAGCTTTTCCAATGTCTTGCTGCTTGTCCTCTTTAGAATAGGATGGTTGGGAATCACTCATATCCGCGCATGATATTGTTCCGATTGAATTGAGAAAGATGCTGTCCCTACTAATTACTTTCTAAATTATTTCCAGAATTCCCGTATTTCTGGTCACCATACAATTAACTCGCTTCCTGTTGTCTCATTTTTATCATTATCCCATTACGGTCACGAGTAGGAATTTAGTGGAGAACCGATCGGAGGATGATAGTAGCACCCACACAATTAAAATTATTATTAATCTAATCTAATCTAATCTCGCCTTAAACTAACCAGTTATCTTCGTGGGTGTAGTAACTTAGTCATTTTTCAGGTTAATAGGAATCTTATAACTACTTGAACTCGTTTTCGATAGTTAAAGTCTGGAAGAGCGCCAATTTTCATCAAGATTATTCCAGAGATTATTTTATTTTTATTGGAGATGGTGTTCGTAATCGTAATCAAGGTGGACTATGCCGTTACCTCGGGCATAGTATATGGCCGTATTCTACCGAAAGCGTGATCCTCGCATAGTATGGGTTATACTTAACGTGGTCAGAACTCTGAAAGTAGTGGTCAACGTGGAAGGCTGCAACCTGACTATTTTCCGCTGATTTTGAGGGACTAAGTGACTGAGATAGTATAATTCTTATTATAATATATATGACTTATATTATTTACGATTTATCACCCTTAACAGAGCGCAATGGGGATCGGAGAAGCCGAAGGATGCATAATTTTAAACTGTAATTCTATTTCGCAATTGATTGTCACTACCCCTCGGAAACAAAGGTCTTGTCTTGGGTTGGTTGTTGGTGTGGCCCGACCGATCAGTGGTTCAACAAAATTCTACATTCAATCTGGTTCAAATAAACCGGATCGCAAATTGCCAAAGTTAGTAGTTACTAAAGTTAGTAGTTACTAAAGTTAGTAGTTACTAAAGTTACTCACGTGTTAGCTATGCAGTGAAGAAACTGTCCTCCTCTAGTGAAGCACATCCCCAGTAAGCTCGATGCTGAAAACACCTGTCAGACCCATACTTGTGAGTTTGGTCAATAAAAAGCTGAGCCAACAAGCTTACTTCATGTAAACGATAAGGATTATTTTATCATCTTTAGTCACTAAATAGTTAAACATTTCCAATAATCATGTTTCATATAAATGGAGCACGAACCCAGTATAGTGATATCATAACCAAAGTGGGTTGACGAAGTACAGAGCCCTCGCCTACTCTGGAGTGTCGTGAGAATTCCCGTATCCATACAAATGTGGTGATAAAAAAGAGCACCAACCCCGTGCCTACTAACCACCAGTACTCTGGAGGTGCATCTGAAACACAGAAAATAATAAATCTAGTGAATTGTTAGTTATAGTTCTATAATGAGATTTGAATAGATTGTAATCATGTTTTTAAGCGAATGTCAGTATTAACCTGCTCGAAGCTGGGTAATAATGAGATTTGAATAGATTGTAATCATGTTTTTAAGCGAATGTCACTATTAACCTGCTCGAAGCTGGGTAACAGTCGGAGAACCAATGTCGTAGTCAGCACACGCATTCATCTACAGGAAGCATTTAGTTTAATAGAAAAAGTCCATATACAGAGTGGCATATCTACTCATTTTACCCCGGTACCCAGAGGCGGGCAAAGCATTTTCATGTTATCATCTCATGGGCCACCAGGACCAGCCTCTCTTAAAAAAGGGTGGTTCAGAACAATACAAGTAACTGCCGACACTCAAACCTTTTAATAACGTCATTCGTATCACAATTGCACACAGATTTCAGAGATTATAGCTATAGACATCTTTAAACTCTTAAACTTTAAATCAAAGTTTCTTAAAATTTCCTCGATTACAGTGGGTATAGTACTAGTAGAAAGTGGGTATAGTAGAACTGTGTAACTTTAAAATTGTCTGGACAACAGGCGAATCATGAAATATGCACATAAACAACAAATGTAATATGTTAATGTAAATCAGCTATTTTCAATAAGAATTCTTCCGGTTAGAAATTAGAATTTGGTAATTTCGTTTCTGAAATCCGCTCCCTAATCTTAGGATAAATCATTTCATTATACGCTCAATTTTGATTTTAATCTTTTATCAAAATCAATTCAAATCTCAAATGACTAACTTTTACATGTCTGATGAAAATTAGGGTAAATTAACATAGTAGTAAAATGAAACTAAGCAGTACGAAAAACAAATATAACATGTTTCGTTTTGTGTCGCGATGCAAAAATATCAAGTAGGTACGCGTTATCGAGTTATTAAGTTCTTGATAACGAACCAAAATCGTATTCAAAAAGCTTGGATTCTAACAAACCCACCAGTAAGCCAGTACAGTATGTATTAACAACTTATCAAATTACGAGATCGCAGCAAATGAAGTACAGCACACGCTCAATACTATTGTGATTTCTTTTTGTGCGGATTAATTCGGGTTACAATGGTACTATGCACTACTCCAATCTTTACAGACATGTCAAGTGTATGGCTTGACAACAGTACTATACAATATACATTAAACTTTGGTACACTTGTGGTACAGTAGTGTGTACAAGCCTTATAATATGTAAAGAAAGGTACAATGTACATATACGTTGAAGTATTGCGATTCCAAATCTTCCTGTGAGACTGAAGAGCGTACTCCGTCATAGTTTATTAGTACACAATGTGGAGTCTGAGAGGGATGTGAGAGTCACGTCAAATCGGCCCTCGAGTATTTGAGTTTTATACACAAAACTTAGAGGTCATAAAATGTACAATTATTAAATTACATTTTCTGTACAACGTGTACGATGCTTCTTCCGCTACAGAATGAACATATGGATATGTTAGATGATGATATGGTCGTGAATGGCCAGTTCCTTACGGAATATGTGAATCAGATACACATGGCGACTGACAGTATTTTCAAGGAGATTAGAAGTAAAATCGGAGTTGAACACAACGATAATGTGCGGTTTGATAAACTGAACCAGAGAAGTGTGCCTAGAGAAAGGTTATCAGAATGGTTAGAGACAGTGTGCTGTATGCTGGACAATTATTGTGGTCCATTGTTACAATCCGCCGTTGAAACAGCTACCGACAACAGAATGCTAAGGAAAGAAAAATAGCGGATGCGACTAAAATCATAGAACTACAAGAGAAGCTGCTCTCTAAGCAAGAAGAAGATATGGCTAAAATCATTGATTTGCAGGAGAAGTTAGCTTTGAAGAAGGATGATGAGATTGGAACTGTGAAAATTTCAGCTCAGAAAGAGATCAAAACCTTTTCGTCTCTTTTGAAAAACACATGCAAAAACGCCTTTGCACCGAAATAGATCCAAGCTGCGGTGAACAGGGTTTCCCTAAAAGAAGATCGAAGTAAAAATCTGATTATCTTTGGGCTTCCAGAGACTGAGGAGAACCTGGATGCTAAGGTATCTGGTATTTTGTTGGACCATCTCAACGAAAAACCGAAAATTTTGAGATGTAAACGAGTTGGAAAGGACACAAGTGAACGAGTCAGGCCAGTGAAATTCATTTTGTCAAGCTCAGATCAAGCTCGTACCATCTTGAGCAAGACTAAGCTACTAAGACATGTAGACGGGTTTAGTTCAGTTTACATTACTCCAGATAGATCAGCTGCAGACAGGATGGCCTACAAGAAAGTTGTTGACCAACTACTCAATAAAAGGACAGCAGAGCCTGACAAAGTTCATGTTATCAGGAACTTTAGAGTCATTAGCTCGGAGAAGGAGCCTTCAGAGTGATACATTTTCTATGAGAACAATATTATCTGTTTTAATTCATTGATTAATCAATTTTTTGCTAGGGCCCAATGTTATTGCAGGTGTGGTATTTCTTACTGCACACTACTGTGTTTTGGTTACCCCTCTTTCAATACATAATTTGGGTTTCATACTGGGATAGTGGATATTAGGGCTATATCGGTTTTCTCCTTTTATAACTGGGTTTATTAATTATTTAGAAGCATTCAATTCTGTATAATTATGTATTGTTTGAAAAGATTTAGATTTTAAAAAATGTATCACGATCAGGTATAGTGACCGCTATTAATATTTATCAGTAACAGGGTACCTGAGATGATGGATTCTGGTATGAATATTATTAGTGATATATTAGTGATATATTATAAGTAAACGGGTTATTTCTGATAATTCTAAGATTTTGACTGAATTTTTGTTCACTGTTGATGTCACAATACACTGTTGACTGTTGAGGTACTGAAAGCTAGATAACCGAAAAAAGCTTTGCGATAAGATTTATTGGTGAACGATCATGGTTCTATAAGTGTAAACTATATTAATCGTAGAATTGTTTAATTTTATGAGAAATGTCAATGTATTAATATCATGCAATTGTTTTAAGTTTTAAATTAATGGTCATACTCAAAGGATGTCTAATTTCGGGCTCAGACGTCAAACGATTCAAGGAACTGCAGTGTCTAATGCAGCTGGGATTGTCATTGTCAAGAGTACGAAACGAAAAGAAACACAATATTTGCTACCCGGCCCCACTCATAGTCATACAATATGCGACTAAGATATTGCATAAACTATACCCAAATAATTTCCACAATACGGTGCCACTGCCCATGTCTGAGCAGCTCTCCTCAAAAACTTTCTCTCCTCCTCAGAGCAAAAAGTGTACAATATAAACTAGGGTCTCACAAAAATGTTTACTGGGCGGCAGGGCAGCGCGGCTCAGCCTGTCAGTGTCATTCTGCCGAATCTCCATTGAATATTTTAGGATGATGATTAATCACTCTACACTCGACTGTCACGTGACTTTTTCAACCCGTTCTCTAGCTGGTCCTGAACGACTATTCTAAACCCTAACCCTCTAATCTGATCCCAAGCCTGACCCTAACCCAATCCTTAGCAAAAGCATATACTGAAACCCTAACCCTAACGAGAAATTAGACTAACTTCCTTATACGGTCATATCACGTGATCAAGACAGTTTTTCGCCGATATCTCGTCAGGGGAGCATTTTACCCCTATGTCATAGGGGGTGATTCTGAATCAGCGTCCGAAAATACATCGATTGAAGTTGGTTTCAACTGTCGGGGGCCCTTTTAGAACAATCTCGAAGATCGACTGTAGAGTGATTTAGCACGCTCGAATATTTTACTTATGGTCTGAGATCCTCACTCTCAGGTAAAAAATGTAAAAACCAATTTACTTTATTTGACAAACAAATTAAAAATTGTGTCACAAGGATTTTAAAAAAAGTAAAAACACTACGAAATCAATCACTCATTGGGTGTCCTTATTGCATCAATACAAAGAATTGAAGGGGACTTGGGATGATTAACTTTACTAGGCGGCGCTCATCCTGTGATCGAGCGTTCAATTTGAATTGGTGTCGATTCAAAATGTGGTATATAAGTCGTTCGTTTTTGGTGAAGTATTATCAGTTGCCATCATCAACAACAACAACAACAGCTATTCCAATTCCTGACATGGTACTCTTCTGTCTAATGGACGAAATTAATGGACCCACCGCCTCCCGTAAGGTTGCTTAATCGTTTAATAAGCCTTGACACCACCGCTGATTGAAATTCGCGTGCGATGATGTGAACCCTGCTTGATTCAGGGGATGATGTGAACCCTGCTTGATTCAGGGGATACTGTCATTATGCAGTAGGTAATGATCTGGTAGACAGGTGTTCGTGGACAGTTGTCCGCGGACAGTGGTCGGGCTATCTCGATACTGCCGAAACTCCTTCCAGACATCCTGATTCGTGTGTTGATCAAATCCCTGATATATAAGCCGGGTGAACACAAAACCCTACTGAATGTAGGGGGGAATGGAGCTCGAGCCACCTTTTGTTGGCAAGATAATATTTGTAATAAATTACACCAATGAAACCAACTGGAATCTTAAGACTATTGTCTGAAAATCTAAGCAAGACTATTATCGGCTCGAGAATTGAGCATAAATAGTCGACTTCTATCCAGAAACCTAGGAGAATCAGGGGACATCCTGTTGTCAATTTATGGGAGGTCGACTTTACTGCTTTGATCACAGACGTCCGATACAGCAGCGGAAGCGCAAGATCTGCTATATAGCGGAGTTTTAGGGCCTGAAAAGTGAAACGTGCATGCATGCGCGCTAAAACTCTCCTAACTCATCTAGAACATGTAAAATTGCGGGAAACGATGGCGTGTCGACGTGTTGATATTTTAAATCTGATTAACGTTCCTTTACCATTATGTTGCAAACGTTAAAATCTTTTAGCGAACGCGTTCACAAACTATTTTTAGTGGTCTGTACCTAATCAATGACGGCTAAACTAGGTAAATTTGCGCATGAACCTTTCAATATTATAGATTATACTTTTCCGAGCCACCGAATTGAGCCTGTATTATTCTATGGCTGAGACCCATTGGATATCGGTTAGTAGCTGTCTGAAAACTATAAGCGTATTAATGGCTGTTACAGTAGGCCCTCAACAGTTGAATACCATCCCCAAGCCAACAATGATGATTAGTCAAAGCATAATGAAACTAGCCAAGTATTTAGCGAGACACAATGATGAACTGGCCGAT